TTCTCTGATTATGATGCAACCGTTGATTTTCCATCGTCTGTCTATTACGAGGAACAAATGAAAAGATATCCCAATGCTAAAGTGATATTGACAGTACGCGATCCAGATAAATGGTATAAGAGTGTTAAAGATACAATTTATGATGCGCGACATCAATTTCCTGGCTGTTATGTAAAACGATTCAATCTGTTAAAATATGGTCGGAAATTTTGGGAAACATATAGAGTTGATGAAATGGCTCGGGCAATTATATGGACAAAAGCCTTTCATAATCAATTTAAAGATAAACAATATGCAATTGAATTGTTTCAGCAGCATAATGCTAGAGTCCAACGTGTAGTGCCAAGAGAGCGTTTACTTGTTTATGATGTCAAACAAGGTTGGGCACCATTATGTAAATTCTTAAACGTTCCAATACCATCGGAGGAGTTTCCCTTTGTAAACGATGCTAATATCCATCGTAGAGATATAGAAAAAGAAAATCGACTTGGCTGGATTATTCTCATTGCTTTAATCAGTATTTTATTGGCTTTTGTTTTAGTTCTTCTAATGTCACATATGAGGAAAACTGTTTAATAAATGATGTTCACTAAACTTCACTTCTTGTGGCATAGACAGAAAACTAGACAATTCCTACCTTTGCTCCAGAGTTCGTGGATGACGACCTCAGTTTGTGATGAGTGAGCGGTATAGAGGTTCGAAAAGATTACAAAAACGCTGCTTCATCTTCAACTATAGATTCGTGTGAGCAACGTGTCGCTCATCAAAGACAGCAAAATATGTGTCCCAGATAGATAGTTTGACGTTGGTGCAACCTCAGTATTGTAACATTGCTGCAACCGCGAATTGATGCCTATCTATACCTACTCGTACGCAATGGATTGTGGCAGTAGGAAACACAAAAGGAACACAGCCCCTGTTATAAGTAAGGCACTTCTTGTTTTCCTGATGTAGGATGCAGATCATTCTTATACTCAAATTTTTGCAGTTTGTCTTCTTTTTAATCCTTTTCAAAATAAAGTTGCTTAAATTTACAGAGTAGGTACACAACAGTTTTAGTGATCCAGAAAGTAGAGAGATATGAATTCTTCTCACTGTAGTGTCACCAAGTTGAATGCTTTTCCTCAACTATTATGTACACCCAAATGGAGCCATTTTTCTTCAAAAATGCACAAAAATGAAAGACTTCGTCCGTGTTTGAAATATTTTAGCGAGGACAGCACAGGACACTGTTTGCGTGTATTTTTTTCCACCGCTTTTAGTTAACACTAGTCGACAATCAGCTCCGTCTGAAAAGCTGAGTCAGCTATGCTAGCAGTGCCGACATCGTGCAAAATAGATATCAGTGTACGACAATCTCACTGTCTCTGTAGGTCCTTCTCGTTTAGTTTGATTTGTGACGGAACCCTTCGACGATGTATTCAACACCTGAACTTTCTCCAAAGATTGCCATCTGAAATATAATACCAAATATCGACATTTTTGCCTTTGACCAAAAATTCTTTGCCGTTGATATGTGCAAAGAAACAAAGCAGTGGACTTAATTGGTTGTTCTCATAGTTAAAATGAAAAAACCGGTGTATGTTTTTTCATCCTGCTCGATTCTTCAATGGTCTTTGTTAACGCACATGACATTATGACGCACGTCACTATCGGAATAAATAAAGAGGAAACAACGGGAGTGAAAGCTTGTAGTTGCAAATCAAAACTGTGCAAAAGTGTTAGATTCGCTTTGTTGGTAGATCAAGCTTTCGCGAAGAAAGAACTGTGGCAAATCTCGTAAAACTGGTTTATGAACCATTAGCTTATTGTACGATTGTGTCTAACGGGGTCCTGTACTTGTGTTACATCGCAAGTATACCGCTGTTTGATCAAATTCCAGTCCAGCCTTAGATAGCAGCTTGTGTATTATCAGAAAGAGTTTGCATATCAATTTAGTGTTGAGGAGAAGCGTAGTAATGTTCTAGAAATCCAGTGTTATAACTATCGTAGATCTATAGACTAAATTAAGTAATTATATATGGATTGGCTGCTCGATTTGTTATCATCGTCATCAAAGTCAGCATCTAACTGACCACGAATAATCCTTCAATTAAACATGAACCATCCTATGCAGATCTTCTCAATCTATAAAATCGATCCGTTCAATCACAACCTATTGAATAACAATATAATCTGCTACAAGTTTTCCTCACCACCCATCATCGCGTTGCTTTTAAGAGTCAGTGTATCTGAAGAAAACCTCGACGACAGAATAAAAATTTTGTTTTACCTCTAACCATATTCATTCAATTCTCCGTCCAAAATAATTCAGAAATCTGGAACTTGAAGTCTTAGAAACTTTTTCTTACCAATAATTCTCATGAAAAGCTCATCAGAAAATGCTTGAAAATCACTCATAAATCGCATGTTTCTGTATTTCAATTATTTTTCTTTCGTTCTGTACTTTAAAATTTTGCGCTACATATCAGTCGAAAGAGCAAAAAAGAACTGAATAAGACATGCTATTTCTCAAGTATGTTAGACTGGAAGTTTAGTATCGAAAAAAAGTCGGTTTTGTCGTTAAAACTGCTGTTACTAAGCCAAATCAAGTTGTTCTAAAAGACTTAACACGCTCATCTTGTAGAGAAGAAAATTCTCTACATAATGATCATTTCACATTGAATAAAAACCTCAGCAAAGTATCTAAAATGATTGGCAATAAGTACCACCGCATCAAGTATTTTTCTCTAAGGGGTGAGCGGATAAACTAGAAACATTTCTCTAAAACGTTTTTGATTTTTCTGATATGAAACATGTTACGGTGATGTTAGAAACATATTGCACCACTTAGTTTTTCGAAATTGTCCCATCAGGTTTTGAACGCCTGTGGTATGCCTCAAGATTTCTAGAAAAGTTTTTGCTTCAGACATTTTTACGGCCAAATGTCTTTAACATTCAGTTCTCTCTAGCACCTGTATTGCAGTATAAAAGAGGAATTGATTTACGACTAGTGTACTTGTTTAGTTGTGGAGTAGGACACTTTCTGTCAGCAATTGTACATGCACTTTACTTTCGAAGCGACTTTCTGAGTATGGTTTGTTTAAGGGGATCGACAGAATGTATACATTGTGCGTGATTAGTTCTTGCTCTTGTTATCGACTCGACTATACTTGCTAGAGATCTGTGATTGTTAGCGCTATTCTTTCAGTGATTTATCCTACTCAATCAACCGTAAATATTTCTTTTCCGTCTGTCTCATCTGTTGACTATGAAACAATTAAACAAATCATATATATATGCTTCCGGGAAGAAGCCAATTTTGTTTAAAAGTAAATATGTCTGCAGCGTTACTAGAACTGAGAGATTTAATCGACAGAAACGACGTGGATAACTTTAATCTTTTATATAGCAAACACAGAAATGAGCTCGAAATATTTGAACATCAAGAACTTGTTTTTCGCTGCTGCCGGTTGGGTACAATTAGCATTATCCAGTTAATATTAGACTTCAAATGCATAGATGTTGAGACTCACCATCTGACTACCGGTTCGACACCGTTGTTCATTGCCATACGAGCAACCCAACAAAACATAATCGATTACTTGATCAAAACCAAACATGCTAATGTTAACTACAGAAATTCATATAATGAAACATGCTTGTCATTAGCATTGCAGAATTATGATGACTCCACAGTTGACCTGCTGATTGAACATAACGTAGAGATTGACGAACAAATATTTGTCAAGTCAATGGAGATTTGTCTGAGAGAACTTATCAAATATTCAACTTCACACAGCTGTTCACAAAGAACATTTCGAATAATTAAGAAATTGGTCGCGTACAAGCCGGGCCTATTAGCATATGGTCCGAAAGCAATTCATCAGTTGATCAAACACGCGAGCTGGCTCTCATATACAACTGAAAAGAATGATGATTACTGGAATCATTTAACCAAATACATCATTGAAATTGTCGAATATTTTGTTGAAACTTGCCAGTGTTCGGTAAACTACAGAGACAATCATGATCAGTCAACGCTCATGTTTGCGTGTGCTACGTGTCCACGTTTACTCGAATATCTGTTAAATAAATTCAACTATTTGAATATCAATGAGACAAACGGAAACAACGAAACGTGTTTGTTTTATGTCATAAAACGCAACAATAATACAAGTGCTATTGATCTTCTAGTGAAATATGGCTTCAACTCTGTTACGTTGAGAAATAATCAAAACCAAACTGCGTTGCATAAAGCTATTGACTACAATGACGTTGAAAACGTTGAACATTTGATCAAAACGTTCGGTATCGATTTAAATGCCGATACCGAACCTTATCTGATGTATGCGTGTAAATATTCAACAGCGAATGTTGTTCACAGTTTAATAAAGTTAGGCGCAAACATTCCTAAAACACTGCTTGATGATGTGGGCGAGAATTTAACTAATCGCAACGATATCATATCCCTTTTAAAACAATATTGCGATCAAATATCGATAACTAACAATCAACAAGCAACAACGATACATCAGACGCAGGTGGGCATCATTGGTGCTGGTCCAGCTGGTTTGGTTCTCTCCCAATTGCTTTATTTATCTGGTATTGAATCCATAGTTCTTGAACGATCTAGCAGAGAGTCAATTGAAACACGAATAAGAGCTGGTGTACTTGAACAAGATACCGTCGATTTGTTTGATTATATAAACATTACGAAACGATTACATATCAAGGGTCTCATTTATCATAATATGAATTTTCAATATAATTCGAAGCGATATCACATACCATTGTCAAAACTAACAAATGGCAAAGTCAACACTGTATACGGTCAACAATGTGTCATCCAAGATTTGCTTGAAACACTTGTAGACAATAATTTTGGCGGTATAATGTTTGAAGTAACAGGTGTACAAATATCAAATGTCCAAGATAAATATCGTCGATCAATAATACGATATAAAACCAGAGAACAGAAACCTGAAGAGATATATTGTGATTTCATTATCGGCTGTGATGGTTCGAACGGCACATCAAGGCAGATTATACCCAGAAATATATTCAAGACATATGAACGAATATATCCGTTCGCATGGCTAAGTGTAATTGCTCTGACAGAACCAATTAATAATGTGTTGATATATGCTTATCATGAACGCGGATTTGTTATTTATCTTAGACGATCAAAAGAGCAAGCACGCTTTCATCTACAAGTGGATGTTAACGATAATATTAACAACTGGACAGACGAAAGAATATGGGCTGAGCTACATTGTCGTCTAGATATGAAGAATTGGACGTTGGACGAAGGAAAAATAATAGAGAAACGGATATTTCCATTACGGAGCTTTATGTGTGAACCAATGCAATATAAAAATCTCTACCTCGCAGGTGACATTGCTCACCTTGTGCCGCCCACTGGAGCCAAAGGTCTAAATATGGCCATTGCTGATGTGAAAACTCTTGCTGATGCACTTCGAGATTATTATGAATTTGGTCTAAATGAGAAATTAGACATGTATTCTCGAACATGTGTTAATCGTTCGTGGCGTGTACAAGACTTTACCAATAGTGTAACAGAAATGTGGCATCGTTATTTCAATACGAATGACGGTAATTTTGGTTATGAAATACAACGAGCCCGTGTGGAAAATTTGTGTAATTCAAAAGCACTGCAATACTCTTTTGCCGAAATGTTTGTTGGTTTACCGACGAATAGTAACAATGTAAGTAGCTCAAGTTTGATTAGCAATGAGAAAAACACTTTTATTACGCTTTTCGTCAGTAAAAATTTCTGAAGATAAACAGCGCTCATCTAAGAGATTCTTCTGTATTCTCAAGGGTGGTTGATCCATGATATAATCAACTAGACGATTTATTACCATGATCAACTATTTCGAGAGAAACATATGACATTTGTGCGAATAAAAACTTTGTTTTACCTCTAACCATATTCATTCGATTCTCCGTCCAAAATAATTCAGAAATCTGGAACTTGAAGTCTTAGAAACTTTTTCTTACCAATAATTCTCATGAAAAGCTCATCAGAAAATGCTTGAAAATCACTCATAAATCGCATGTTTCTGTA